GTCTCCAAGTGGATCGCGGGTCCAAAGGCAATCTTATCGGCATATCAGTTTTCCGTTCCCCACCACTCCATGTATCGCTTTTTTGCCCCGGGTGTACGAATGGAGAAAGGAGATAAAGCAGAGGCAGGGGTCGAGGACCAGTGTCCGAATCCCGAACACAGTTATGCACATGTTCTACCCAAGCCGCCAGACGGCGAGACGATCATCAAAGCCCCCACCAAGCCTGCCCTCCGAAAACCCCAACCACTGAGATATCAGCAGCGAAAAACAAGTGAGATTTGTGTAGGATTAACGACCCAACGATACCTCTGAATTCTATTTCTGTTAATTATTATAAACGATTATATTAAATGGAATATTACTCTTTTATAATTTTGGTCTTAATATCAATTGGTGTAAATAAAATGGTATCTCATGTATCAAATGATATGAACTTTTTCCTAAATAGAATGACTTTGATATGTAGTATTATAAAAAGAACAGAACAAATCGATAGATTTTCAATGATTTAATAGAACTTTTTTTATAATTTACAAATTTGTTTCTCAATCAAGGCTGTAACCAAATGAATATTCCTATACCTATTATACCCCTGATCTCTTCCTTTATTGGGTATCAAAAGCGGAGAGCACACCGGCTACAAACAGTCGTTAAACAACATTAAATGGGTCTCGTTTTGGACAGTGGAATGAGAGCGTTGCGCGGAACCCCGTCCCCATCCACCGATGTGCTCGAGTGTATGACTCATCCCGGGAATCGGGTCTGGGGTCTTGGGTCTTGAGTCTGGGAATCGTAGCTCCCTGGCGGTGCGCGCTTTAAGCTTCCGACCCAGACGATCGGATCGCTGTAGATCGGCTGGGATCGTCTGCCTAAGCAGCCCTCAATGACAGGCGTTACAAAATGAGTGAATCAAGGGGATAGGGGCCTCGAGAAAAGGTAGGAGAGTGAGTTAATGACCCGAGTGCTACGGATCACTTGGCAATTGTCTTTGTTTCTTTTTCCCAGTTCGGCTTTTCTAAATGGGAAATCAAATAAAACAAAATATACATTTCTGACAAGATCGAAAAGCGGACCCAACCAGACCACCAGTTGGGATCATAAAAAATTAACACAAATTAACGAAACGAAGCCGCAGCAGAAAAAGATACACAAACACCGATGTGTGAGAAAATGAGAGTTTTTGAGATTGAAAACAGTGCGGGAGCAACAAAGCAATGACAATATTTTGGGGACTTGTGAAGAACGTTGCGCAATTCTTGGAATTAAATTGAACAAAAGAAAGGGGGTTGGAGGAGCCAACCTGATTGAGAAAATGAAATTGAGAGGGAACATTAAGTATAAATGATGATGATGACCTAGTTAGGTGTTTGTTAATCTGTATTAACAATTATAAAAGTTGTAGTATTTGGATATGGAACGAATTAGGTGGTAATACATTTAACCGAAAACAGCGTTCTCATTAGGAAACATAATAATAATGACAGACCAATTCATCGGCAGAACGGATAATTTAAAACTGCAATTAAATATAAATTGGAAATAGAGAAAGCAGCGTATAACTGCAATAAATTAACTAATGATGTTTGAAGCCAATTATAAAAAGTTTAACATGTATATGTATTTTTAAATGATACATTTTTTATGATATTATTAATAATTTGAATATTAATACGTAAAATTTCTGGTCGAAAATTTTGTTGAATATACTCCTACTATAATTTCATTATATTCAATTTTTTTATAAAGAACTCGATAGCATACAAAACGGTACAGTGAAGTAAAAGCAAAAAATCCCAGCAAGTTGCGCAAGTTATCGCATTGTTGATATTACTCATTAGCATTCGTGAATGTTACGAATGTTTTTTATACATATATGGGATGTGTAAGATATAACGTTTTGAGGCAGTCCCAGACAAAGACTGAGACACGTCAGAAGATGGACCAAAAAAAAACTGATGAAATTCTCGCTAAAAAATTTGCTTTCATTTGGGAATATCTCGTTAGCTGCCTCACGAAACGTAAAGTGAATTTCTGGAATCCCAATCAGAAACGGGATCGGGAAACTTCCGGGTAGATCGAAAATTCGATTGACACACTTCCCAGGAATGAATATCATGTGGGTCATTTGACATGCAGATTGAAAACTCAATCGAGGGAAATGTAATCCAATTTGACAAACTCAATAAGCCACAAGACACAAGTTAAATTAAAAGTTAGACAATTAGATATGCAAATGATATATGGGTTCCTAAACAAGTCGAAATTCGTGTTTACTTGTTGCAACCCAATCGAGCCATGAATAATTTGAATAAAAGATTTAATAATAACCCGCATAAGAGGCAAGGAGCCGAAGTCATGTAATCCTTTGAGAAAATCAAAAGTAAGCAAAAACCAAGATATATCTTTGAGTTCAAATATTTCGCCTCATTGGGCAATTACCAAATTTAGATCTCTATCTTGGAGAAAGAAAAACAGAAGTAAGATTTTGTTGATGGTATTCAAGAGGTTAATCATGGAACTAACTGACATTCGAGAGCCTCAATTATTCTTAATGCGCAAATTACCGCAGGTTAAGGTAAAGGGCACACATTTAAGGGATAATGCTGGCCATATTTAGGTTAACTTGAGACCCTTTCAGGCTCCACCCTCTTTGGCAATGATTCAGCTACATCCAAAAAAAAAGGTCCCAACCTAAACTCCGCCCCAGAAAACGAAGCAGACCCAAAACATAAATTTCCAACTTGAACCACATTGGTCCCCCAAAACGTGTGAAAGAGAGGGAAATGCCCATTTTTTGGCTTCCTCTTTTTGCCCGCTGGAGCATAAAACGCTGTTAGGAAGTAAGCCACGCCCAACCTTCCCGGATTTATATATGTTGACGCGAACCCGGAAAGAAAAGACCCATGAAAAAAAACTATGAAGGCAAATGCTGCTGTTGTGCGACTGGGATGGCGTAATGAAAGAAAGAGAGAGAGCACGGCAAAGGAAAGTAGAGTAGTTCCTTCAACAATAGACCTAGACATCGGAGCTGGAGAGGTAGTCGCTATAGATGATGACGCAGAACATCCCCCAAAGTGGTGGCTATTCTCTATCACAGTGGAAACACTTGAGACGCACACCGTAAGATTCGGCTGTTTGTCTGTGTGGGTACAGTGCCACGGCATTGTGGGTGGAGTTTAAATGGAACTAGCAACTCATCCAGACATCATGGGGTAAAACATTGCCCAGAAATGCTATTGTGCAAGGATTTTGGGAGAATATATAATATAATATGAAATAGATTTTAATTTAGAAAACAAAAATTTTCCCAAATCACACGTACATTACTATCATATCATGAAACTTAGATATGACTAAGAATAATGAAAAGTGTTTACCTCATAAAAGAGAAAGCTGCAATTTAATTTGATATGCAAATAACCACCAGACAGAAGAGCCATATGCCAAATCATTACAATTAGTTTACAATGTCTTAGAAACCGCAGAACGGAAGATCATAAAAGGATCTTATCGAACATAATATGAACCCGTAATAATGAAAATTGAGATGATTTATGATAATTAAAAATAAAAACTTCCTATATAATGTTGGAGTTCATTGTTCGGATACCTACAGAAGGCTAATTAATAATACTTTAATCCGCAATGAAATTTTCGCGTATTATATTAAATGACTTCCAGGGAAAACATTCATATCATATCATATCCGACACGTTCCGCTCTAATGAAAATAAAAATTGCACACGAAAAATAAAAAATGATGGGACGAGCCCATTGTTGTCAATATACTGTATATGGCATATATACCGTTAATTTATGAGAGATTGTCATAATTCTTAGTAGGAAGCTTCAGATGATTGTGTAAACATTTGTAGACCGCGAGGTGCTGATAAAGAATGATATATCTAGCTGTGGCAGGTGGGCTTGTCGAAGAGAATGAGAGAAAAATAAAAGAAATGGGGACTCATCTTTGCCCCCGTGCCCATATTTCAATGTGATTCTGCCTCCCACACGCACCGCCCTCTTTTTAATACCCTTAAAGAGGGTTAATTTATTTAGTTAACAGTTTGCAAATTGAACATTTAAATATATATTTTTAATCAACATTGAAAATGTAATTTTCTAAGCACGTAATTTGACTTATACTTTTATAAATGTAAATTAAAGCCTAGGGTATCACAAATGCATTTCGTCCATTTATATCGAATCAATATTATTGATGTATTAATAAAGTTTTCTCGTAACAAGTATTAAGAATTACAATATAGGGGAAATTTACTCGTCCTAATAATTATAACCTTGGAAAAGTAATGGAATTTTTAAATTAATGCTAAGTTTTTGTTTAACAAGCGAACTTGGCTAATAGTCATAAATGCTTATTTCTTAGTAATTGTATTGGACTTTGAAAGTTCTGAAATTGGAAACTTGATATCAATATTTTTCTCTAAATTATTAATTTTTAATTTTTCATAGGTAGACTAGTAGACTATTGTATTTTGTCCTTAAAAGCTGAACTTAAAAGTTTGGTCAAAATTCAATGAGGTATAGCTCATATACGACCGATTAATTGTAGAGGCATATTAAACTTCAGTCATTTCGTATTCCTTCTCCGTCGAACTCCTTGGTGGAAAGCGTTTGTCATGCCCCGACGATTTAATACAATTAATATGCTAACTGTACTTCTCGCCGCACACAGTTACAACAAAGGCGCTGCCAACAACCTGACAACAACAACACATCCACATAAAAAACACGCTTGGCAACAGGCGCAAGGTGGCCCCGCCTCCCGCCCACATCAAAAAATTAGTACTTTTTTTTGGGAGCTGCGAATGAGACGATGTCAACAAAAATACCAAAACAAAAAAACTCCAACCGGAGAGCAGAAGAGCGAGCGATGGCCAAAAAGAGAGCAGCCACCACCAGAAAAACAGAGAATAAGACGGCTGGAGAGTACCAGGTATAAATAGGCTCGGAGCAGTACTCAATATATTCAGTTGGAAACCAGCCAGCGCAGCGAACGCATCTCGAAAGTATCTGAATCTGAATATCTGACAGAGAGAAACCAGAACGAAGTGAACGAACTCGAAAATACGAAAGCAACGTGTGTGTGCCAGCAACAAAGAACTAACCCGATAAATATTCATTGTGCCGAAGAGAAAGTCATTGAGTCACCGGCAATTGTGTAATTCCAAGACCAGAGATAAACCCACAATGGCAGTGGCATTTTTCATACCCGACCAGGCGACTTTGCTGCGGGAGGCGGAGCAGAAGGAGCAGCAGATCCTCCGCATGCGGGAGTCCCAGTGGAGATTCCTGGCCACCGTCGTACTGGAAACCCTGCGGCAGTATAGCCCATGTCTTCCGAAGACCGGCAGAAAGTCCGGCAAATATCGCAAGCCATCGCAGTGAGAACTACGAGTAACTAACTACTACGGGGGAGATCCAATAGTCCAGTCCAAAATCCAGAGTACAAAGGAAACAAGCATGAGACAGCCCAAAACACAGTCATCACTCTACAGCCGACGGCATTCGATTTCTACAGCAGTTAAGGATACAGGCCCAACACCCACCCACTTTTAGTTTACTCATCAAAGCGATTGTGATAATGGTTTTGTTTCTATACAAAAAAAAAAGGAAAGAAATTCTTAAACAAAAATACTTTAAAATCTTTTATAAAATCCCCAATTTTGTATGGTCATTTTTTGAAAACAAAAATGTAACTTCTTTAGAAATAATTTACACTTAAAGCCTATTTAAATGAATTACCACTGTAATAGTTCGTAAGTTCTTTTGTAAGCAAAGTTTTTCTAAGTTTTTCTTAAGAGCAAAACCCAGAAAAGAAAGAGAATGAATCGTAGTTGGCTAAAAATTGCATCAATTTTTTGTCAAACAAAAAGATCAATAAAACAAAAATTGCGAAAATAAAACAACACTCTGATTTTTCATTTATTGATGGCGTGTAATTTTTCAGCTTATTCACAGGAAAAAGAAGAAAGCTCTAGATAATAACGTAAAAGAGCGATTTCGTGATTTTAAAAATTCATTTCACCGACGGCAAGAAGGAACTTTCTAGAAAATCGCATTTCAATTTTCGGATCAATCAAGTTTCATCTTCCGATTTCCGACGGGTTTCTTAAACACAAAGAAAAAAACGACAACAAAAATTTCTTATTTGAAAATTGACGTTTTATAAATGATTTTCCATTCATCTTAGGTGCTTTCCGACGGAATTTGCTTTGTGCTATAAGTTCAAAAATACTTTTAAAAATACCGAATGCCGAGCTCAACTCAAGACAAAAATGCTCAGAGCACTGCAGTGCACTGAAACGTAGACATCAATTTAATAAAATACAAAGACTTCGACTAATTTTAAACTATTTGCATGTTCAAATAAGATATTTGCTAGCACTTTAAATATTAACACTTGAAATAACTAACCAATGTGTATCAAGATAACTTTTTCAATTCCCGTAAACTTTTTTTACTTTTTTATAATATTTAGGTGCACCTACACGTTTTATAAACAATATATGTTACATAAACTACAGCCTTTGCGGCAAACATAAGGATAAAAAACATTGGTTTTTAAAAAATTTTGAAATTTGACATAATATATTTTTAATACTCGATTGGGAAATATTATTACTTTCTGACATTTTTATAAAAGTCAAGAAACAATCTGTATTTTTTTTTTAAATTTAAAAAAGGCATAACAAAATTTGGTCTTTTTGGATATGAATAACAAAATATGATTCGATACCTTAAAGAAATTCTGGCTCAACGTCCGCCAATAACTTTGAATGAGTCTAAGAGGAACGGAAATATTGAAGGTCGTAGGCGTATTTTACTTGTTCTCCTGCATCGAGAGAAATATTAAAACCCTTTTTTTTTATTGAGATCTTGCTTATGTGTAAGCACATATGGAATTCAATGCTCTCATTATCAAAAAAAAAATGGTGGAAAGCTAAAAGTTAAATTGAGTTTACTTAAAAAATGTTTGATACACTACCGACTGGACTAATAAATTAGTTGTTGAGATATACGAAAATTTAACTTGCGGTTTTCATGCTCATTGAAAACATTAAACATTCAAATATGTCGTTTATTTTGAAGAACATTTTCAACTCAGATGAGAATGTCAGAATTCTCTCTGTGTACCTAAGATTAGATAAAAGAAGTCCCGTTTTGATACACAATTTTTTTTGTTTAGTTATGAAAAAAACATTGCTTCAGAAAATAATTTTACTACTTTTAATATTATTTAATAAAATATAATATTATTATTACGTTTGAAATGATGCTCACATAAACCTTTATGTATAAAAGTTCCAAAGACCTAAAAATACAAAAAAATTAAACTATTAATTGAAATTAAAAGAAAATTAAAAAACAAAGTCATTGAGGATGTATGCAATATTTCTGGCGGTTCGGAGACCCAATCTTCTTCAGCCTCAACCAAAAATTTATTGGCTCAGAACTCTGCCATCTTATGATGAATCTATACCGAATTACAGAATTGTTATGGTTCATCTTAGGAAAGAGACTTGATGTAAAGGGGTTAATGTTTAAAAAAACCGTTATATATACATAGGTCTTGAAAGTAAATGGTTTAATATTTATAAATGTGGGATAAATTCCCATTGCCTCGGTGCCCAAAAAATGAAATGCTCAATTTCTGGGAATGTGAAAACTTAAAGAATGAATGAGAATGAGCTCTTCTAGCACAACTTTTCCACTCTGAGAAAAACTTTTCAGCCACTTCGACAACATTGTTCAACAAGCGGCAGCAGGAAAACACACAAAGAAAATTCAATTATGCAAAAAGGAAATACAAAAATATTTTCCAAGATTTTTCGATGCAGAAACTTGGCACCGAAGACAGGGAGCTCGCCCTCCGGCGGTCTTGACATCCTCTCCCCCTCGATAATGTCAAAAAATTAGGTGCTAACAAAACAATTTGCATTTTTAAGTTAATTTTTGCAAGCGGCAGATTGGACGAAAAAAAAATCAATGTGCAATCCTTGAGGGTCTCGTCATCAGCTCAGAGGATATGACTGGGTTCCGCGAGCGCGGCCAGGAGTTTTAATTAAACTTTTGCACTTATGCAGCTGCCATATCCTTGCACATCCTGCAGTTCAATTCACTTTGATTGCCCGAAAAAAGTTCATAAAAGTTTGCAAAGCTCGCGCAAAAAGAAATCAGAAATTTCACTTTGGCAAACAAAACTAATTAACGTTAAACAGATAAAAGTTTGGCCCACGGGAAAGGGATTGGCATATGAAAAATAATTAACACAAGTTTATGATTATGCTGAAGCTGCGCCAAATGTCGAGCGATTTGTAAGCGAAAGCTGTAAAAATCACAGACAGAAAGCATTTAATCCCTGGCAGGAAATTCCTCCGAAACTTCCCGCTCAGTTCTCCGCTGTTAATTAGTTCGGAAAGTGTTTCTAATATTGCGAAAAAGAGGGGAAGACCGCTTAGAGTTAAGTGAACTCGAATCAAAACAAAACTTTATCCATAAATTTCCAAGAACTATTTTCGGTCAAGAGGAGTATCCCTTTTTTTGTGTTTTGGGCCCTAACCTTGACTGATCTTATCTCGGTTGGTTTGGTTCGATGGATACCTTCCACATAATTGTCTGGCCTGTTGGCCAATTTTTGTTCTATTCTTTTTTCCAAAAAGGAATTGGTTTGTATAGAATAGCCAGACAACAGGTAAAAAGACAATAAGAGCGATCTGCGAATGCTCGTGCAGAAATAAATGAAGATCCTGAAAAGGTCCAAAGCCAAATCCCTAAAATAAAACACGAAAATTAAACTGTCTGAATTCGGGTTGCCTTTTTGGAAATCGCGGTGAAGTGGTTAGAGGGGGAATTGATAGTTTAGGGTTGCCAAGTGTTTTAAAAATCTGCAAATCATATAGTTCTTGGCTTGGATCCAATATGGAATGTAAAAAACGTTATTAAAAACGCGTTAAGAAAATATTTTCTTAATAAAAAGAAAATAATAGAAATTTAATAATAAAATATTTTTTAACATATATTATCAGTTCCCTAAACTTATTTTAGCAACAATTTTAACATTATAAATAAGTGTACTGGGTAATTTATATAAATGGAAAATAGTATCATAGTTTTAGAACACAAAACTCCTCAAAAAATACAGCATTTTGTAAAAACCAAACATTTTTTCTGGTAATTTTTGTGGTTCTTTCTTTCAGCTCCCCTCTCATCTTTTTTGTCAAGCAAGTGGTGAAATAATATAAAATCAGTTCAAATCGAATCAGTCAGGAACTAATGGCCGGCAGCCTAATGTCATTAGCTCGGACTTTATGTGCAGCAAAGTAGAAATGCTCCTGCAATGGAATTATGAGAACCTGGGTCCTGGCCCAAGGATTAGCCAAAGGCGTGTGCGTGTGGGTGTCGTGTAATCAATTGGAAAACTCCACCGAAATTCCACCTCGGCTATTATGACAGTTGTGCAAATGGAGGAAAATTGTACGACAGAGGAAATTGGATTAGTTGCTTGAAATTATCAAAATGTAACCTCTGGAAAAATATCAACGCAAAGAAGCGCCCCCAAAAATGTAATCAAAAGAGGAAAAAGTGCTCAACAAAAACATCATTTATAAGCCGCGACAGCAGGAGCTCCCCAAAAAACCGAAACATTTAAAAATATACTTTGATTGATGATACGTATCTAGTCAGATAGTCGGAGTCGAAAAGTCCAGGCGAAAGGACACGCACACGAGCCAGGAAACGAGACGGGCGGCGAAAAAAAAAGCAGGGAAAGTACATTAATTATTGAAATGTCATTAAGAGGAAGGCCCGAGCTGACATCCTCCAGATTCGCTTGAATATTTAATAGGATATTTGACCGAAAAGCGAAATAAGAAAAATTATGACAAGAAGACGATGCGTGACCGCCTTTTGCCGTCAGGATATGCCGTGAATATGGGCTGAAGGAAACCTTTCCGCAACGGTGGTGAAGCAAATCACGCAAGATGATGTTGATGATGATGATGGAACACATTCACTCAAATCGTATTAATTACAGGGTGGATTCCCTATCAGGATATCTGACTGCTATAGGAAGTCCCAGGCCATTCATCAAGCCGGGCGAACATTTTAATTAGTTTTTTTTTTGTTTGCAGCTTGAACCCGAGATTACGAGCTAATAGTTCTCGAAAGGCAAATTATCCAGATGCCAAGTGAGTTATGGTAATGCCCGGCCACACCCTCTATCAAAATATACCCCGTCTCCACGAACAGAATGCATTCAAATTTGCCCAAAAGAATCTGAGACACATAACTGTCAAAAAGGACAACCCGTCGTGCCGCAAATTGTTTGCTAAAATTCTAAAGGCTTCAAAAGATCGAATAACGAAATACCCTCAAATATATTTCTTATTATAATACCTATGTATTTAAAATTAAAAAAAGGTAATATATACATATATGTAAATATTTAACCAAAAACCGGAC